GGGGGGGGGGGGGATTTGGGATTTAGATGATAGAAGCGTTGTGATGACAAATCCACAGGCCCCCTCTATTCTGTTTTCTATTTCCAGTGGTATTTTTATTCGTTTGGTTTGGTCGTCATTCAGTTTTCTTTGATATATGGCGATAGTGTACATTATCTTATCATTGGCAATTTGCCATCAGTGTTTTCGTTCGTGTCCAAGTTTTGGTGTGTAAGTCGAAAAAATGTGGCTACATCGTTTTAGATATTAGAATTCAGTGTTTTCTGCATTTTGGGAAATTTGAAGTGTGTGTTACAGCGTGTATGTAAAGAATGTGATGTTGTTTTTTGTGTATTTTTTTTTGGGGGGGGGGTGGTAGTGTATCTGTATTGCCTTTCGGTGTAACACACCATTGTCATTCAGTGTTTATAGTTTCTATACTTAATATCTTCTTTAAACTGTGTTTTTGTTTGTGCACATAGATCCACCCACCCAACCCCTTCCTGCCCTTCCCTAACGTATCCCCTTACAAAACACTGCCTTTAGGATATAGCCCTTCCCTTGTGCCGATGTGTACAGCGGACACGCTACTGTGAGTCAGGAATGTGCACTCAGTTTGGCTCACTATAACACAACAGTGTCCTTATTCGCCTCCGTTGATTCGTAAAGAAGTTGTTGCTCTTTTCTTCGGATACGCGTAATATCGAAGTGTAGTTCGACTAGTTTCTTCCAGCTTCTTCGGTAAGCGGCTGGAAAGAGTAGAAAGACGGAGCGACAAACTGTACGCGGACCAACTCCTCTTTCATGTTATCTCCTATCTTCTACGAAGCATGGTAGTGACTATAGCTCGAGGTAGGACATAAGATCTAGCCTGAGTGTCAACCTTGTTAGCTTTCGTCCGCTCCCCAAGATCCGTTCCCCTGTTGGCCGACAATACAATAACACCGCCTTAATTTTACGGATGACATCCCTTGAAGACCCCCAAACTAGTGCGCGCGGGCGAATAAAATATTCCGGCCAAATATAAAAATGTTACTAAACCAAAGGAATACAAAGCTAGTATTTTGAATTTGCGGCAGTACAAAGTGACGTATGTGACAAGCGGACAATTGCTGACTTTTTGCGGAATTTATGAGTCTGCACTGTACGTATGTATTAAGTTCTTGAGTCGTGGAGCTTCGACAGCTAGCCTGAGTTGTCGTAGGTAATATAGGACATGGTAATAATACAGCAATTTCATCATTTTCGTCATTAAATTTTGTAATAGAGTGACCCTACAGCTAGGCCATTGTTGTATCACTATAGCGACGAATAGGCAGGGAAAATATGACAACCGTCCTGCTTTAATCGATGTATTTCGGACATTTGATACCCTGTAACATCTGTCACGCACGGCAGTCTACGTGCTTCATCGATCCTCATGACATTTGAGATGGGGACAGTAACTTGTGATGTGACATTTGGACTGGATATCGGCTGGCACTCTTAGGCCACAGCAGCTAAATTTTATGGATGACATCCTCCGCAGACTCCAAATCTAATGCGAGCGTGCGAAAAAAAAAAACAAGGCGGGCTGAAAAAAACAAGGTTCCTACATTTTAAAATTTTGACTCAATCATTGTACAAAATGATTTGATTCAGTGGGAATATCACATATACACAGCCAGCATCACATATCACTGTATCAAAGTAAGAAACAAAACATTAAATCAGAGCCTTTTCTTGTCTCCTGTCTTCATAGTTATCTGCCATCCACCTTCCGGCATGGCAACAGACAGCTTTGCCCATTTTCGGCATGTTGACCACTTGTCAGAAGGCAACATAATTTCTTGTTTTTTTTTTCCAAAATCAGGCGAAAATTAATGCGCGCGCTTATGTCATCCATAAAAATTACTTGCTGTGGCCTAAGTCTGAACAAGTAGATTGCCATTTATAACCATTTTAGGGACGGCCGATAGATTGCATGCATCATTACACCAGTTAAAATATTTACCTGTTTGCATTGTCGTTGAATTATACATGTTGGCAAACACTCTTACTCTCACAGGCCCTAGTGCCCTGTCCCGTAAGATGTAAATTGCCATTTATAACTATTTGAGGGGTGGTCATTTTCTTCTTCGTACCGCAATTATGGTGCTTTAATGTTTACATGTGTCCTTAAGAGAAATGTAAACACTACGGGTACGGTATGATATAAAAAGAGCCCATTTTGGTTCAACATTATATGAGGCCATGCTGATTTGATTATATGGATGACATCCTCTGGGAACCCCAAAACTGATGCGAGCGTGCGAATATTAAAAGTGTGGCAAAAAAGTTGCTTTCATTTTGGAATCTGCATGGTCATGAAGGTTGAACAAATGACAGGGTATGGTACTATGCCGAATAATCTACTCTTCCAATTCATTTCTTTACATTTTCGTCTTTTTTTGTTTGATTTTGGCATTCTACGTGCATTAATATTGTTTTCCAATGTTTTTTCTGCAACTTACGGAATATATTTGCTAATTTTGCAACTGTTTTGCATGATTTACAGCATGGTTGAAAACTTTTTTTTACGTTTGCCGCCATGCGGCGGCAAACGTAAACATACGAAAACAATGCTTCCATCAACCCTTCGTTGGGTGAACATTTTCGTTTGGGTGTTGCATTCAATGTTTATCTATTATGTTTGCACTTTTTATTGTGGGATGGACCTTCCAGATCACATAAACGCAATTCTTATATGACAAAGTTATCAAAAGTTGGACTTGAATTGTCTAAAAAATAATTAATCTGTACTACTGTATGCCCAAAGTGATTCTCAGAAGATGATAAAAATTGACATAATGGCCTTGATGAATGAATCGCATAAATTATGTTAATGTAGATGACAAGTAAAACATTGGCGCTCGCGCAACGTCTGTAATTAGTGGACAAATATTCCAACAACGATGTTTTAATTGTGGTCCACTACATTGTTGCTAAGTTTCCACACTAAAGAAACTTTTAAAGTACCCTTTTGCCGAAATATACGCCCTTGGCTGTGAAGAGAGCGAGAGTATCCGGCCCACCGCCATATTTACTAACCGGAAGATGTACTATTTCACTACATCGCTAGATGTCGCTGTTCATGTTGCTCTTGGAAGCCCCCGGATGTACTAGAGGGCATGTATGGGGGTGATAGCGATTACGGATTACGCAAAATTTTCGCCACCGATTACGAATTAAGTAAAATTCTCAGAGCTATTAAAACTTTATGCATTAAGGCTAATATAATATTACGAATTTCATTGATTTGGAGGGCGACTGCCAACGGATTACGAAGACTAAAATGGTCCGATTACGCCTCAGGAAAAAGGGCATGCAGGCTCCTATAACGAGCATTCCAGCTCTCAGGTACGTACCGTGCCTCAGTATTTACGCCATATAAATTAAAAAAAAATATCAGCAATGTTATGAGTATTAGGCATAGAGTTACAGGAAAATAGTATAGCTAAAAGTACCATGGGCAAGGGTGATCAATCTAATTGTGCTTTGACGCGCTGTTTAACAATATTTAGTAGTCAAACTGACTGCCCCCCCCCTCCTCTTTGGATTTACAAATGCGTCTAACAATCTCTTTTCGGTATGATCAAATTATGCAAGGCTAAGTTTCTTGCTTTAATATTAAAATTAATTACTGGCAGATGCTTGCCAATCTTAAAGTTTGTTCTCTGGAGTGTTTCTACCGTATCGCCTTAATTTTTTGTATTGTTGCATAAATTATTATTTTCTTTCTTACAAATTTTCGCTGTCAGTGGGGGGGGGCGGTACAGGCTTTTCATTCGTCGCCAGTATTTTGTTGAAAAAACTTTGAGCTTTCAAGCTATTCGGTTCACACGTAAATCTTTCCTGGTATCAAACATATCTCAATTTCATCAAGAAATTTGAGTGTACTCAGAAACCTAAGAATCGTTCATCAATATGGCAACATATAGAAGCTCTCTCAGTAGTATATGGGTAATTTTGAAGACTTTGATGTGTTCTTTTAGCAACGAGAACTCAATATTTATGTGCACAGTTGCAAATTTGATGTTGAAACAAATTATTTGTCATCTCTTCCAGATGTGTCTTTGGCATTTGGATACCACAAAGCAATCAACCTATGCCACCATTCACTCAATACCAGCCTGTGCCACCGTGCACTCAATACCAGCCTGTGCCACCGTGCACTCAATACTAATGTGCCATTGTGCAGAACTTGCAGATTGTATACTGGATGAGTCCATGTCTCACGAGTGAATTATTAAAACCAGAAACTGTATCTTGCCCTGAAACCAAATATTCAATATACAATCTGAACACATACATTTAGAATCTGTGTATACTTGTGTCACATTTCTTACATATAAGCCATTAATTGCCTTTGCCCACAATGTGTGAAGCTATACTATACAGGAAAAAAAAAGGTAACAACATTTTCAGTGAAACTAGCAGAGGTGGCATGTGATTTTCTTGTGCAAAAGTACAATGGCGGCAAACGACAGCTTTTGTAAAAGCACTTGTTTTGGAAACGGCCGAAAATTCATGCACGCGCGGATGTCATCCATATACATGTAATCAAATCAACATGGCCTAATGTAGTATGATAGTTATGTGAAAGACAATGATAAAACCCCTAGATTATCCACAATTCACTCCACAATCAGATGGGATTTGATTCCTTTGTTGATGTTTAATAGATTAGTTCAAACAGAAGAGCCCATATTTGCCACCTGGCTTCCCTTGAGATACCACCCGTATTTCATGATATACAGCATAATCTCCTAGGGACTAGGCTACAATATCACAGTTACAAATGTAATTTGTTATCAAAACAATCGTAATAGTTAAAGTCACACGCAAGATATGCATACTTCACTTTAATACCCAATGTGATACCTCTTTGTCATTTCGTTACTTCATTTGTTTATTTGTGTGTATGCTTGTGGGGGAGGGGCACAGTATTTTGCATTTGCCACTATAGTACTATGTGTAGCCTCTTCCATACTTCGGAAAGCGGCTGGAAAGAGTAGAAATTGAGTACAAATTTGCCGCAAACTGTACTCTCAAGCGCACCAACTCCCCTGGCATGTTATCTCCTTATTTGGCCAATTTCTACTCTTTCCAGCCACCTCCCGAACCCTGGTAGAGGCTAATTAGTACATAACTATAATTATGTTTACCAAAGGAAAACATATTGTTTCTGCTCAGTTTCTTCTTGCTCCTCTTCTCCAAACACTGACCTCTGACCTGGTCAATGACCTAAACCAGACCATCTCTGACCATGGTAACTGGAGTTGGGTTACATCATGTTGCAATTTTACAGTAGGATGGATTTAGACTGCTGTCACCATATATGTGAATGTGTTTGAGGAAGAATTAACAGAGCAGACCATATGCGAAGGTAAATATTATGCATTTGCTTTGCAAATGTTACCTTTCTAGTGTTTATCGTATGTTGATGTTGATGTTTATATTTTGCAGATATGGATGTAAACCAGAGAGGACTCATCTGCCCAGTGTGTAATGACCAGTTCAAGTCGCCCCTCACCCTCCCCTGCCTCCACTCCGTCTGCCGGAAGTGCGCCGAGGAAATTCTCGTGTCTCGCGAGAACGAGAGGAGTCACGTCACTTCCGGCAGGTACACCCCTGTGAATGAACCCCGCAGGTAAGAAAAAAATTGTCCAACACAATTCATCATTTTCAAACTTCCCATAATGCCTAGTGCTGGTCACGGATATTACGTAAGAAGCGGATAGACAAACAGAAGTGACATGATGGCATTTCGGTAGATATCCAGTTCTTCTTCTTCTTTCGTTTGGCAAAGTTATTAGTCTTGGTCACATATATAGGCAAGTTGTTTACAAGCCTATGTAGATGTAGGTCACGGTCTCCAAAATGATGAATATCCAGTTGAATTTTAGCATTAGGTTGTGGTTGCTTCGAAAGTGACTTATCCAAAATCATCATAGCCCATCTCAAATGTGGTTGATGCTACGGTGGCAAGACAGAAGGAACTTACCACCGTAGGGTCTGCTTGGAGATTTGGCTGGTGCTTTGGGGATGGTTCTGAATTTGTAACAGTGGCTTATCCTGCGATCTTCATCAGTTATCCAGAAAGGGGTACTTAGACATAATCTGTTTTGTAGTGTGTTGAAGTGCCCGGCCTGTAAGAAGGAAGTACCGCTGGACTCCCGTGGTTTGGACGGACTCACGGAAAACTTCATCCTCAGAAACATCATCGACTCCATGAAGGAAGCCAAAGAGTATTCCGAACTGGACGACGACCTGGGCGTCCAGTGTGATGTCTGTCAGGACGAGCCGGCCAACCTCGCTACTAAGACCTGTGTGAAGTGCGAACTCTGCTACTGCGAGGAGTGCCTGAACTTGACCCACCCTCCGGGGCGCCCCCTGACGGGCCATCAGCTCATTGCACCCACACGTGACCCGAAGTCAAACATCGTGAGATGTCAGGAGCACAACGAGATCATATCGCTGTACTGCGAGGATTGCGACACGGTGGTCTGTCCGACATGCCGCGCGCGAAGCCACAAGAACCACAGGGTGATTCCAACGGACGAAAAATACCGTCAGATGAAGGTACGTACGTGGTTTTGAGTTAAAACTTTAGATCCAACACAAAAAGTTCTCTCACCTAGAGCTTTCGCCCAGACACTCTGGTCTTCCTCAGTAGACTGACCCAGTGAAGCTTGTCACGTGGCTTCTTTGAAGTGTGTCAAAGATACACTGGGTCAAAGATATCTGGTAGACGATGTCGGCCCCAGTCGCGGTTCGTGCAAAAAAGTCTGGTTCGGTGTCCAAGATTCTTTCTTTGTCCAATGAGACCGAATCTGTGTTAGAAATTACAGTTTAAACTGATGATCATGACTTCCACTAACACAGATGTACGTTACATCTTGTATCTCAATCCCCACCAGGCTGCCCTGAAGGACAGAGTGAAAAGTTTGGTGAACGTCAACAGTACATACGTGCAGCACATCGGGAAGTTACGCTCTGTCTGTGACGGCATTCAGGTAGGACTTTTCCATGCAGATTTCAAATCACAGAAATATCTAAGGGACCACCAAAAAGGGACCACTCAGGAGACCGATAGAATCTGGTGTATATGGACAGGTGGTTAGTATACATGTAAATGCAGAATTCTTAATGCTTCAGTCAATGGGGAAATGGCCAGGTGGTCCTTATGTAGAGGTGGTCACTTATACAGGTTTAACTGCCTCGAAAGGCGGTTTGCTAACTTTCCTATCTCTATTCCAGAGTCATTTCGACAAGCAGGAGGGTTCGGTTAAAAAGGAGTTCTCCGACGTGAAGTCTATGGTGGAGAAGAAAGAGAAGGACATGTTGACCACGATAGAGAAAGAGAGGCGGGAGAAGGTGGGAGTACTTTTTATGTTTATTGATTGTTTTTGCTCTGTTCCGTCTTCCTCTTCTTCTCCAAACACTGACCTCTGACCTGGTCAATGACCTAAACCAGGCCGTCTCTCAACGTGGTAACTGGTGTTGGGTTACATCATGTTGCAATTTTATAGTAGGAGGGATTTAGACTGCTGTCACCATATATGTTTGAGTAAGAATTAACAGAGAAGACCATATGCGAAGGTAAACATTATGCATTTGCTTGACAGTAGAGGTGATCATTTAGTAATATATATATACAGGAGCACTATCAGATAAACTGTTAGTATCTAAAAATGGAATATTCAAATGTACTAGGTGGAAGTTCGGCAGCAGCAGATTGACCACTACCGGAAGACGTTAGAGAACACCACGGCTGCCGTCAGTTTTGCTCAAGAGGCACTGAGAGAGCGGGGACAGGCGTCATTTCTACAGGTTTGAAAAAACCGTTTAACGCAAAAACCATAACGTGTGGAGTAAATGTAGTACAGTCTTCAGAGATCCTGTCTCTGAATGAAGAGGTTAGGGGTTTGAATCCCGGCTTTTGTCGCCCATACTACTGGAAAGTTCGCAGTTATTAGAGCATGGTCTACTGAATGTGTGGACATGAGTTTAGGGAATTTTTCCGCTGCAAGAAACTTGTAAAAGATTATTAGCAAAGTAAATAATTGTACACTCAAAATATTCATATGTTAGAATTGCAGTTAAACGTCTTAGTGTTTGATAAACCACAGTTTTTGATGTTGATTCTCGTCCTTTTTTTGTTTCAGAAAGCGCACATGATCGACAAGAAGTAAGTACTGTGTAGAAGTCAATGAATTTCTGATCTTTGTATTCACTCATACTGTGTGCCTTTATTAACTGCGGCGAAGTCTAGCGCGAATTAAAGCTGATTTTGTTTTCCTTCCGTAGAGTGAAGACTGCGTTGGAAACAGCTCCGCCCATACAGGACACAGAACTCACGGAAATGCCCGACAACCTTTTCGAGGCGAACCTGGACCTTTCCGACATTTCTTCAATCATAAACAACAAGGCGGCACTATCAAACGGTACAGCACAATATTATCAATATGTATATTATTTATAAAATATGTATACTTGATTATCAAAATTTAAAACATTATTTCTCTGTCACCTTCTATTTTCAGTACTTTTGATATTTTGATACATGATGTAGATAATCTCAATTGTGCTGTATGAGACTTATTGCTCCGTTCTGTATTCCTAGCTCCACCGCCACCGGAAATACGTAAGAGCCAGTGCATTGTGGGAGAGACTTCCATCTCCATCCGGTGGCACGTGGCTGACCCCTCCTTCTATAAGGACTATCAGGTAACGCTTTCTGACCCAATATTGCTGTTATCACTTGTTTTGTTCACGTGTGACGTCAGCAGGTCAAAGTTCATGGGAAGTCGATATCGTCCCCCCATTCCGAGTAATTGATTGAAATCTCTCCCAAAACATTTTGCCAAAAAAGTTGAATCTATTTAACGAAATGGCAGGAGGAGGAGGAGGAGGAGGAGGAGAAGAAACACGAGGGAAAACAATACATTTCATCCATACATATGGTATGGACTGAAATATGATAAACTACAATGATTTAAAGCTCTCCCTTTTCCCCCTGTTAATCTGATGCCCTGCAGGTACAATACTCCACCTTACCGGACCTCGTACGTAGCACGTCTCGTACCCAGGAGCGGCTGGCGGTGTTAGAGTCTCTGTCCCCGGGCACTACGTACACCTGTACGGTACGCGCCAGAGACAAGGACGGGACGATCCACTGCAGCAAACCTGTGGACTTCAAAACTAAGGAACCAGGTGATCATTGAGACCAGAGATACATGGTCTTCGGTTGCTCGATCTCTTCTACCCTAGGTGCCAAACCCTTTCCGTTCGGCAGCGAGAAGCCCTTCGCCCGCCTGTCTAAATTACCGTTTCGGGGGAGACTAGCCCGGCTGGCCCTTATAGTTCTAGGGCCGGATAAATTCTCCTGGGCTAAACTCCCCCGTAGCGGTAATTTAGATAGGCGGGCGAAGGGCTATTGGCTACCGAAGGAAAACGGCTAACGGCCCGATACTAGTTTGGCACCCAGGGTAAATCTCTTCAGCCTGGTTATCGGACCTATTTTAGCTCTCGTGTCTTCCTCTTCTACGCAATATAATATTTGCGCAATATTTGAGGAGAGTGTAAAGACTCGGGAACTAAAATAGGTCTGGTAGCCAGGCTGCAATCTTTTGAACTTTTCTTTTGTCTTTTATCTACATTTTCGACTCACCACCCGAATGAGTGTTTCCTTTTTCTCATTTTTTCTACAATTTATATGTTAACCAATATTAGATAGAATTATTAGTGGACGGATTTAAGGACCAAATGAGGGTAATTGTGATAAAATCAGGGCTTTTGTTAATAAGCTCTTAAGTGAACCAGCTTAAATTTAGAAGTTCAAGTCGCGTATGGTTCTTTATAATCCGTCCCTAATTCTGAACAGATCACCCCATCATTAACAAAACCGGTAACATATCTTTAAAAAAAGAGACCCCTTTTCCCCCCTAATGTTCTACCCCCTTCTTGTCTCATGTGTTTTAAAGGCAGCCTTGTTCAATATCGTTTGCGTCAGATGAAGTTCAGGACCTGACGTCACTTCTAAACTTTCCTGGGGATCGTCCCAGCCCATCGATATCCACCCCTACTGAACCTTTTTCTTTTAACACGTCTTCTTAAATCAGATGAACAGAAAATATATGTAATTGATTTGATAAAGTATAATTGTCAGGTACGATTTGGGGTTGTTGACTTAAAGTCAGTTTAACAATCTTTGTAGCATTCAGTGATCTTTTTCCTGGAATTTCATGTCTTTCTTTCTTCTTTTGCCATGTTCGCATGTGCTTGACTTGATCAGAACTGTAATGCATCTTTGACTGTATGGAAAATTAAAGTCCCTTTGTTTCCCGTTCTCTCTCTCTTTTAATTTATTTCGTCTTCATTCTTTGGAGTGAACACGACGTAGCGTGCTCTGTCATAAACCACTGTAATGCATTTGGATTGCCAACAGTGTTTTGAAATTTATGATGAACCTTAATTATTGTTGTAATGTAATGGCCAATTTACTGTTGTATGTCAGATATGCTCGTGGGTGTGAGTAATGTATAGAATGTACAAATATGACAGCTGGAGCAGACGCTATGCCCAGCCAGCGCTTGGTGTTATCTGCTGCGCTTGGTATGAGATATCCATGTATTTATAGCAAACGCATCTTGCATTTCACAGTCGCTAGAGTAGTTAAAGCTACGTCAGAAGCTACGTCATCTTCGGCTGCTCGGCTTGCATCGTCAAGCAAAGCTACGTCATCTTCGGCTGCTCGGCTCGCGTCGGCAAGCAAAGCTACGTCATCTTCGGCTGTTAAGCATGCTTCGTCGAGCGAAAAAGTGGTGTCCTCTTCGGATGCTCGGCAATCTTCGACAAGCGAAGCTACGCCATCTTTGGCTGCTCGGCTTGCTTCGTCAAGCGATGCTACGTCATCTTCGGCTGCTCGGCTTGCTGCGTCAAGCAAAGCTACGTCATCTTCGGATGCTCGGCAATCTTCGCCAAGCGAAGCTACGCGATCTTCGGCTGCTCGGCTTGCTTCGTCAAACGAAGCTATGTCATCTTCGGCTGCTCGGCTTGCTTCGTCAAGCGATGGTAGCTCGGCGTCACAGCCAGTTCCTACGCCTGTAGAAAACGACGCCAAATTGCCAAACGAAGAGAAGCCTGAGAACAAGGTTGAAAATCATTCGTCGACCAAAGAGAAACGATCCTCTCGCGTCATGGATTTGGTGGATGGATTTGAAAATCAGACTATTGTGAATGGTATGCTTCTAGTGAAATGCCCCCAATCTCTTTTTTTTGTAATGCCTGCAAGCTACTATCGCTCGCGAACATAGATATAAAATTCTATTACTCATGACCAAAATCGGTACCTTTCCCTTGTATTAAAGTATAATAAAACTGTTCCTACCCCCTCCACCTCTTTTAGTTACAAATAACCTGGTTTTAAAAATTCTCAACTTTGAGAAGACAAAATACCACTTTGCTATCCGGCATTTTTGCCTAACATCATCAATGTTGGCGCGGACCAAAATGAGTGTTTAGTCAACGGTGGCTGGCCAGGTGTTGGGCTGTAGTCCTCCAATAGCTGTGGTGATGTTTTAAGTTTTTCAACAATTTTCCAATAATATGGTGCAAACGGTGTCTCTCAACAGTAATTGTTACTCTTCATAGATTTAACCGTGAGCATGATATCGTTCATACAACAGAACCCACTGAGAATGAGGAATCTACAAAAGATGTCAACGTTCAGAAAGTATCAACAACGTCTGTCAAACGTCAATCATCAGCCAGGCGAACTTCTAGTCGGCGCGAGGAAGCTCCAGAACCCACCCCTCCCAAAAAGGTGGAACCTCCCAAACCGGCCCCGTCTACAAAAGTGGAACAGCCCAAACAGACCCCTCCAGCTATTCCAGCAAGGACGAGGTCGTTTTCAAAGCCGCCCCCTCCCCAAAGGACTATGTCCCCGCCCCTTAAGGAAGACGTCCACAAACCCCCTCCTGCTCCAAGACATCCGGATCCCCCTCAGGAAACGGAAATCAGGAACAAAACGGAACCTAAAGTGGTCGCTGAGGGTATGGTTTCAAAACTTCAACATGGTGACCACACTCCATAAGCTGTACAATGTCATCACTATTGTCAAAGCTGGTGAAAGGGATATTTTCTTGAATTTTTTTTTTACTTGGTGTTTTTTTTCCTTTTTTTTTCCTTGGTGTTTTTTTTTCTTCTTATACACCCCTACCTGATTCTACCACGGAATGGGAATACTTAACCACGCACAGTGCACAGAAGGATGGTGTTGGTGTGGGGATTTTGTGGTGATTACGTGTTTTGTGGCGGTGCAGTGGCTACTGGTGATCATATCATAAAGTAGAACTGTCCCGCGGAAAACCTTAGTTTAAGAGTTGCCCTGGTTATGCAATAACATGGGGTCTCACGGATTCACTTTTTGGGTCTTGTACATGTCATCTTTATCATCCACATATTCTCTCACATCCCTTGCTGGTGGCAGACCGGGAATGACTAGCCTGGTGTCTAGTCCATCGTGGTTGGGGCAGGCTGTCTTCGGGGCTCTAATAGTTTACCCCCGTCCAGCTCAATAGACCGCCCGGTAGGAGTTACGCTAGTGGGGCTAATCAATCTCCTGTCGTGAAAAACCTACCGGGGAACCTAGCTGAGGCGGGCGGGGAAGAGCTCCTGCAGCCCCGAAGAGAACCCGCCCCAACCACGATAGACTGGACACCAGGCTAGGGAATGACAAGTGAGTTCCCGCTAACGCCTGCTTCATTCTCCCGCTTCTCAGATCCCAACGCCCCGGCCAGAGTGACGTCGTTCCTGACGGACCTGGAAGTGAGGGGACTCGCGGACGCCAAGTTCACGTGCGCCATCACGAAGCTCGCCAGCGAAGTGCAGGCCAAATGGTAAGGCAGACCTTTTTGGCGACACCTCAGGGGTGGAGCCTACTACGTTGTGAGAAATGAGTTTTGATGTTGGTAAAATCTTACTTTGTCAGATGAATGAGCGTCAAAAGTGTTTCTTTCTTGTCTCCTTTTACCAGATTACGTATTTTCGACTGATCACTGCACAAAATCCATTCTTTACTAATACCTTAAAGCATACGTAAAGGTTTCGTTTCTTCACCTGTATCTTTACGCAAGCTTTAATGTGTGCTTAAAGATAGTTTTCATGCAGTGGATAAAATTAATGTAGCTTGCAGTCCTTTTTCAGACGTGACCCAAAAATTATATACTGTACAGTACAGGTTTCGTTTCTTCACTTTTGTGTAGCTTTACGCAAGCTTTAATGTGTGCTTAAAGGTGAATGGTACGATATTCTTCTCCAGGTCGTGTGACGACACCGTGATTACACCAAGTTCAAAGTACGAGATGACGCAGGAAGGGAAGACCTTGACCCTGACCGTGCGCAACGTGCAGTCATCTGACACCGGGGAGTACGCGTGTGAAGTCGACGACAGCAAAACATGTGCACAGCTCTCCATAAAAGGTAACCAGACAGTCCCTGGGGATATGTAGTGGATGCTACCTGAAATGACCGTTTTCAGATTGCAAAACCTGCATTGTTATAGTCTTGTCATGTGTAAATTGATATCTCAACTATAACATTCGTGATAACTGTTTAAAGTTAAAACTTTTGTCACAAGACAACTTTTAACTTAAAGCTTTCAACCAGTCACTCTGGTCTTCTTCAGTAGACTGACCCAGTGAGACTTGTCTCGTGGCTTCTCTGAAGTGTGGCACCCTGCAGCACCAATACACATGAACGTTCATGACAAAATAAAACGCATTACAGTCTTGTCATGCATAAATCTAACGTTATAACTCAACTGTGCACATACCTCCCCAGAACCGGCGCTACCAGTCATCAACATCCAGAAGTGTGAGGTGGAGGACAACGCAATCATCGTCAGGTGGAGTGTACCGGAGGACGAGAAGTACGACAATTTCCAGGTAACGCCGTCCTTACAGCAGGCAATGTCTCTCCGTATTTTACCCCAAAATAACCCCAGCTGGGGCAACGTAAGGGGAAGTCTGGCCTGGAAAGTCTCAACAGTGGGACCGGGCCAGGCAGTGACTCCCACTCCGGACACAAAGTATCTCAGTGAGCATGGGTCTGGCCGGAAGACTGGGGAAAGGCTCTCCAACATAGGGAGGAGAAGCTGTGATTGATGACCAGTCACACCACAGGTAGCCGGTTACATGACACCACTATTGGTCAGTAGCAGAGGTGTAAAATTGCTTCCTGCTGTTCCACCGATGGGGCCTTGTGCTCAAATACTGAGCGTTCGACAGGCAGGTAATCTGATCCTACCAGACCCAGGCTCACTGAGAAACTTTGTGTCCAATGTGCTATGGGTTTTGCACCCAGGCTAGTATGTTACGGGGGGGGGGATGAGTGTCTCCTTCATGCCTGCATTGACCTAACTCACTCTTGTCTCGAGTTCAACTTGTAGGAGTTTTGTTCCAGAAAATATTTAAGCCCTATCAAGTTATGGAACTCTAACATGACTGACGTAATGCTACGCTTTGTTCTAGCTGCTGTATTCGAAGTCATTCCAGAGTTCGGGGAACCGGTTTTTGGAAAGCTCCATCTTCAAAACAGTGAACAACATCCAGGAAACTGAGTGTAAAGTGCTTGGTCTGTTTCCAGACTCTCACTACAGGTATGTTCAGTTCATAACTTACAAATTACGGTAACGCAAAAATAAAGTCTACTTTCAATTTATCCTGTCCTTGGTCCTGAACACTATCCACACGCACACACACACACACACACAAACACTCACACACAAAGTTGTCGACTTTACAGTACCATAGTATGATCTAGAGTAGACCATAGGTTAAGATAGTTGTCTTAATACGCTCCATTCGTCTAAAGTTCCCTTTGAGTATCGAACAGTTGTTTAGTCGTTGTACCTTATGTTCTAGGTTCTACGTACGTGCAACTACAACATGGGGGCTCAGTCAGCGGAGCACTGGGGTGCTCCTTAGGACACTGAAGAAAGGTAAGAAAGGGAGTTTAAGTTCAACCTCAAGCGACAACTAGTCTTCCAAGAGAGGACAAAAGTACATAGGCAGAAGGAAAACGTATAGTTTTTGCTCTGTTTCGTCCTCCTCTTCTTCTTCTCCAAACAAATAAGATAAATGACCTCACCAGACGTCTGTCACCATGGTAACTAGTGTGGGGTTACATCATGTTGCAATTTTATAGCAGGA